TCGTCTGGACGACTGAATCGGAGGTCGTCTGGACGACTGTATAAGGTAAGGAGCAAAAAAAGGTCGTTTAAAGACATAAATAAAGACATAAATAACATCCAGAGAGTACTAAAGACATAAATAAGGACATAAATAACATCCATCTTTGTCTAAAGACATAAATAAAAACATAAATAAAGACATAAATAAGGACATAAATAAGGACATAAATAACATCCAACTAAGTCGTCTATGAAGTCTTTTTTCTGGACGACTTTCAGACGACTTAACTTTAAGTCGTCTGTGAAGTCTTTTTTCTGGACGACTTTCAGACGACTTAAATTTAAGTCGTCTGTGAAGTCTTTTTTCTGGACGACTGAATCGAAGTTCGTCTGGACGACTGAATCGAAGGTCGTCTGGACGACTTGTATAAGGTAAGGAGCAAAAAAAGGTCGTCTAAAGACATAAATAAAGACATAAATAACATCCAGAGAGTACTAAAGACATAAATAAGGACATAAATAAGGACATAAATAACATCCATCTTCGTCTAAAGACATAAATAAAAACAAAATAAAGACATAAATAAGGACATAAATAACATCCAACTAAGTCGTCTGAAAGTCATCTGTGAAGTCTTTTTTCTGGACGACTTTTAGACGACTTAACTTTAAGTCGTCTGTGAAGTCTTTTTTCTGGACGACTGAATCGAAGGTCGTCTGGATGACTTACTCTAAGGCTATTCAACCGGTTTCTTACATTGTGGACGCTTATGGCCCGTTTCTTTGCATCCTGAGCACCTATAAACCTTGTGTTGCTTCCGGGGTTTGTGTACTCTCATCATGGATAGCTCCAACCATGATTGCCATCGTGATTTCTTCTGTCTCCCTGGACCACGCTTTATTTCCGGAGGAAAGCATGTGCGTGCCTCAATTTGTTGTCCAACACAAGGATATATATTCTCTGAATATCCTGCGAACAAAGTATGCTTTGAATATACCGGAGATACAAGTGTGGAGATATGAGAACCAGCTGCTGTTCCAGCTGCTATAGTATGACAACAAGGGATTTTCTCAACTTGATAGACACCACAATCACACTTGGAAAGCTCTAGATCAACATTGCAGTCTTTATGGCCACCTTTCACAAAGAACTTCCATCCATCAATTTGTTGGACTCTCAGAGTATCTGCGATCTCCTCGCGAACAGCAAGCAAGTGTTCAACACCTCGACTATGTTGAGTTGTAAGACTCAACGCATCTCCTCTCCTTTTCCAATACCATCTTCCTATCTTCTCCCTTATGAACTCCAACAAGAACTGAATAGGAAATCCTCTTGCTCGCTTCAGTGCGGAATTAATTGATTCAGCGATATTGCTCGTTTTTAAGTTGTACCTGTCTTCGTGAAAATGAACCCTTGACCATAGGCTCACATCGGCATCCACCAGATACTCATGAAGATCCGGATTTGCACTATGTATCTCAGCCATGTACCGATCAAAGTCGTAAAGTGTATGAGCATAAGCAACACCTTTCACCAAGTACAAAAGATGCTTCCCTTTATACTTTTTGACAATATTCTCTTGAAGGTGATAATAGCATATTCCTCGTGTTGCCCAAGAAAACACCTTCTCACATGCACTTATAATGCTTGTGTGCCTGTCAGAGACTATCACCAGAGGATGCTCAGCAGATACACAACTCGCTAAATTTGTGAAAAACCATTCCCAAGATTCATCATTTTCAGAATCTACGATCCCAAAAGCCAATGGATATATCTGAAAATTACCGTCTTGTGCGGCTGCAACCAACATAGTACCCTCATACTTTCCACTTAGGTGAGTCCCATCCACCACAATGACCCTTCTCTGATACTTAAAACCTCTGATAGAAGCTCCAAAAGCGANATCAATGATTCCAACACGATCTATGAAGAGTCGACCAATGTACTTCGGAGTAGAGTGTTTCCGCCCAGCGATTCTGTCTCTGGTGGAACATGTATGAGTTTTCAAATACTTGGTTACCCAAAACGTCTTAGTCCCATGTTTCACACTTGCTCTGATCTTCCATTGACAACCACTAACCCGACATGTTGCCACAAAGAGAATTTTTGTTGACTTGTAAACTCTGAAGGAGAACCTGCGCCTCACCGCGCTCAACCGCAACTCTGAAAGCAGTGCATCCTTGCTAGTAAAACTCTGGTTTACATAGATTCTTTCTGCATATGATCCTTTTCCCTCATAGCCATATGCCTCTCCGTAATCTTCAAAACAAATTTCATCATCTTCTTCCTCATCCTCGTCTTTAACCTTTCCAAATTGACTGTAATCCTCATGATCATAAAAATCTTCAGCGACAACAGGGATGTCAGCATCCTCCTCCCTATCATGATCCTCAGCTACATCCCCCTCCTGATCTTCATCCCCCACATCAGCTTCATCACCTGCATCCTCAGCTTCATCCCTTTCCTCTAAAACCGTTCTCATCTTGCAAAAGCTTGATACACAAAGACGTACTTCTTGCGTTTTGGTTATCTCGATTAAGTTTCAAACTTGTCTATCACTTGTAACATGAATAGGAGGAAGGTCTGGAGCTGGTAATGAGTAGCTAATCTCCACAGTGACTGTGCTCATGTCCAGGTTATAATCTTCTTAAGCCATTGCCACAAGTTCAGCATGTGTTGAATCTTCATTCAATAAAAACAATCTTGCTCCTTTGAAACGATCAACCACAAAATTCCAACAACCATCTTCCAACAACCATTCTCCATACACTGCACGTAACTGATGCATCATCTGAGATAGTAAAAATAAAACACATTAGCAGACATAGAAGAAAGAAAACGAAAGTTTATTAGAGAGTCGAAGCAGACGACTGAAATGTAAGTCGTCCAGACGACTAAACATTCAGTCGTCTGGTCAACGCAGAGGTTATTTTTGCAATTGACTTTGAAATCAGTTAGTTGGGACGACTGAAATATCAGTCGTCTGGGTATGTTTGATAAAAAAAATCCAGACGACTGAAATTTCAGTCGTCGAAGGTTAGTTTTGCATTTGACTATAATATTTCAGAAGTTTGACTTTTTAGGACGACTTACATTTCAGTCGTCTGCGAAAAAAATGAAATATCAATATTTTATTGAAATTGGACGACTTACATTTCAGTCGTCGTAGGTTAGTTTTGCAATTGCAAAAACAAACTTCAATATTTTAAAAAATCTAGACGACTGAAATTTCAGTCGTCCCTGGGACGACTTACAATTCAGTCGTCTAGGATTTACGAGGTTTGACCAGAATCTCGGAATAAAATCCTGGACGACTGAATTGTAAGTCGTCTGGCGGACGACTGAATTGTAAGTCGTCCTGAAAGTTAAAGTTTTTTTCGCAATTGCAAAACTAACCTATTGTAAGTCGTGCGTTCCAATAAAATATTGATATTTCAGTTTTTTCGCAGACGACTGAAATTTCAGTCGTCCTAGAAAGTCAAAATTCTGAAATTTTCTAGTCAAATGCAAAACTAACCTACGACGACTGAAATATCAGTCGTCTAGATTCTTAAGATATATTTTTGTAGCCAAAATAAAGTAGACGACTGAAATTTCAGTCGTCTCTGGAAACAAATTGCAAAGTCAATTGCAAAAATAACTTCTGCGTTGACTGGACGAAAGCAGACGACTGAAATTTCAGTCGTCTGGACGAACAGATCGCAAAAAAAAAACTCGATTTCATACCTTCAATTGGTGAGAGCACTTTCTTTGACTATATGAACCCTAGAAAATGTAGAATCAAGCACTCAGGATCTCAAACGAAGGTAATCCACCCTGAATCTTTAATTTCTTTGACTATATGAACCCTAAAAAATGTAGAATCAAAATCTTGGGGTTTTTTTAGCTCATTGTGGAGAGAAAGTGAGAGATATGTGTTGTAATGTGTTCTTTAGTTCATGAGAATAGAGAAAGAAGAAGGGTAAATGGAATTTGGAGGCATTAAGAGCTTCAAAATTGGTTGTTCATGGTTGTTGGAGTATTGATGACAATGGCAATCTTGTAATTACTTGAAGATAATGAGGGTGAGAGAGTAAATATGTCAAAAAAAAACAAAATGATGGCATTTTCGTGAATTATATGAACTTGTGGGGTGAATTGGGCAAAATAAAGTTCCAAAAAAAAGAGGTTAGTTTTGTGGTTGACTTCAAGTTTCAGGTCAATTCTGCAAAAAGTCCTAAAAAAATTCTTATTTTTTGTTCAGTAATCTATTTTGCACTCCATTTTGATTAAATGGAGTGGGGACAAGATGCTATAATGAGTTGAAATTATGAGATTCATTACTCTATGTTGAGAAATGGACATGAAGATGGAAAAAGATCGGTTATTACAATTTGGAAATGGCTTGAATTTGGCCCCAAGCTCTGTTTTTTTCCAAACTGCATGTAGCCTCAAATACATATTGATTTGAGAAGAATCCAGTTTTGTGACGATAAAATTTTACCATCTCAACTTTGTAAATTGTCAACCAAGAAAATCAGCTGGGAAGTTACCGTGCATGGTCTTACATCAGCTGAGATGTGAAACAAAACTAAAAGCAAGTCTCTCCAAAGTTCAAAGTCGAAAGGCCTAAGCAAGCAACATTGTTTTGTAGTCTACTAATCTTCAAAATTCTTTGCTCCATTTCACCCCACAGTCCAAGACGGAACCTTTGAACTAGATGCTAAGACCGCTTAGGCCGAGAGTGTATATAACTTACACAAATTTAAAATATGCTGAGTTCAATACTGATACATAGCATGATTGATAAATAATTTAATAACAAATAGTAGAAACTATAATAGAGAAATTGCTTCTTAAATAACTGCCCATGCTAAGATGATTTTTAATTTTTATTTGAGTCCGCACAATCTTTAAAGTTTGAACATTGCACACTCCATAGTACATTGCTCATCAAATAACGGATCGAAATTACTTAAACGAAGACTAGAAATAAAAGCATGATAATCGGACGGTGAATAGTTTGAGTAGATACACCGCTAAGCTGATTGTTGTGCAACTTTCTCAGATCCAGTATGAACAACCGCACTGGATAAGCCTATCATCGGTTGTCTTTCTGCCATCATTCTTTTGGTGGAACTGTAGTATGTAGCGTACAATATTAATTGAGCCAGCCCAAATACACATCCAATTCCATTTGGTATCTGAACCAAAAATGTTTAAAATCAAATTAATAATTTTTATCTCCTTTGACAAATAAAAAACTTTTATCTCCTAGGAACGAAATATAATTCTCATTTATTGTATTTTTTGTCATATTAATTATTTGGGTTCAGTATTTTCTCTTTAAATAAATATGAAATCTAGTTCTATAGGTGAATCATCAAACTTCGATGAAAAAGAATGAAAAACTCACAGCTATGAACGGATCCAAAGGCATGAGTGCATAAACTGTCCAAACACCCGCGTTTAGAAACGCAGCCAACGACAGCCAAAACGGCATGAACTCCACGCTTTTCGTTCTTATTACCATTTTCTTCATATTTTTCGGTGTAATTATTTTGCAAAAATAAATTAGTTGCAAGTACTTAGAAGAGACACAAGTGATAAATGCATCATTAAATATTGAAACTCTAAAATGGAAAAAAATAATTAGCAAGGAAATATAATTCTGATAAATAATAATTATTAACAAAAACATACCATAACAGATAATGGAGAAGCATACATCATCACGTTGAAAACGCAACATATGATTCCAACGCTCATCGTACGTTCTGTGATAGTGTGTTGTAAAGTGAAGACCAGGACTGCGAGAATAGCCACAAAGAGCGTTTCACCCGCTAAAACAGCGGCTATTACCAATCTCTGTTTTGGGCGGCCACTGAAAACGAAAAAGATGGTTATGAACACAACTTCGATTAGGACGCCTGCACCGTTGATTGTAACGACCAGCGTGCTGTCCGGATGCACCATAGGGAGTCCATAGAGAACCCAAACGAGACAGTTTATTAGAGTGGCTAAATACGGTATGGGTGAGTATTCCTCCACTGACTTCTTTTTCACGATCTTTCTAAAAGTTGGCCTGAATCATTTTAAGTATAATCATTTTAATTTTTATCACTTATTATTATTATTATTGTTATTATTATTATTATTATTATCTTTTTTTCGAGGAATTGTTTTTCATTTTTATGATATTACCTATTTAAATCATTACTAACTAGAATACCTGTATCTTTCTGGAAGAAAATATAATATATTCACTTTCTTTATTTTTATAAAAATGTTGGCAAAAACATTTGTATTGTCAGAATAGTATCAACTTTACTACTCTGGTTACCAAAAAAAAAATAATAATTAAAAAGTGATGAACATAACTCAGATCTTTCAAGATAAATCATATCTTGAATTTTTGAAATATTCATTTCCTTTAAGAAAATCAAATACAAATAATTGTTTAAAGAATGTTCTTTGTTTCAGAAGTTTTATTCAAATAATATAAAGAAATCTTACGTTGGTGATAGAAACAAACATAGTGCGATGACATTTCCTGCAAATTTGAACATATGAATTGAAAATATCAACATATTAGAAGCAAGTGGTAGGCTAATGAAAGTTGTTAAAGGAAAAAGGTTTGTAAATGTGAATAATCGGAAAATATACCTATTGTACCCACAATCTTCCGAATAAGCTTTAACTGTGCAGACACCATACTTATGAATGTAACTAAAGATAACGATGATTGTGATGAAGAAGAAGGAGGAGAACACGACGATGATCGAGTTTAATGAAGTGATTGGAGAACCATTTCAGTTAATAGTCAGAGAAGAAGGATAGTCGAGTGGTGGTGTACAGGTGTATATATATATATATATAAAATGAGATGAGAAGAGAAGTGTGCGAGAGACCACGAATAAAAATGTTATGATGTGACATATATTATTACCATACATCATATACATGTGTCATGTGTGAATAAATGCATGCACCGTGTACAATAAAAATGTGAATAAGTCAGTAAGTTTCGGTTTATGAACTAACTTGGAAGGTAGTTGAATTATAACACACACATTTATGATACTTGTATAGATGTGTATAAGCACAAACTTCGTGGCATTTATATATCCAATTTATGGTGGAATAATGATAAATGACTACATTATATACATGAATTCATCCATTAAAGTGATGGTTAGAATTAGAAGAAAAACTGGCTTTTCTCATAATTATATTATGTTATAAATTGCTTTACAATGTTATCTATAACATTAATTTTTCTAAATATTTCAGTGATTCTCCAAATTAAACAATTATCCTTAAATGATCCTCAAGAAAAAAAAAATAATTGGGTGGTCATAAATTTTAGCTTGTTTTTTTCTACCGAACTTTGTTATAAATCATATCAAAGTTTACAAGAATATCAAGAAAAGGAAAACTACAATGAAACAAACTCTATTAAATTTAAGAAAAGATTGCTTTTCTAACTAAAAACAAAATGTTTGTTGGTTAATCGTATTCTATAGGCAAAAATGTTAGAATTAATTGAACATATATTGCTGACATCGAATAGTAAATATGTAACGTTGAAACTTAAAGTTATCAATGTTGAAGTTTAGGTATGGTGTTATTAGTAAAATCATCTCATTACGTGGGTTTAAGCAAGGTCTTTTGTCCATGAGACATACTAGTCCATTTAACCTTAGGAGTAGAAAAAACTGAAGTCTCACTCTTGTGCAAAAAAATAGCAAGATGGCAACAACTGCTTGCCTAAAGGTTTAAATCTTACAATAAAATTCAAATTAGATTGCTAAAAGTAAACATTTTAGATTGCCTAAAGGCTCTTGTCTAACAAGCTTAAACTCTTCCAATACTATTTCAATGATGGTAGGTAGTCAAATTTGAACATTTTAAGTGTACAAAATACTTTATTCAAAGCTAGCTAAGCCTATTATTCTATTATATTTAAATAGAAATCATGATTTATTTAATGTGTGATTTTTTATAGTTGGAACTTCCCTTAGAAATTTATATATATTTCCTTAAGACTAATAATATAAAATCTGTGTAACTAATTTAATTATAATATCTTTTGATATCTTTTCATTTTAAATGTTTATATATATTATTTAAAATTGTTAACAAATTTGTTTAGAAAGGTTTAAACAAGATCTCAACTTTTAAAATTTTATGTAAATATTTTCACTACTTACTTTAATTATAATATCTTTTTATATCTTTTCATTTTAAATATTTAAATATTATATATATATTTAAAATTTCTAACAATTTTTTGCAAAATATTTAAAGAAGATCTTAATTTTAAAATTTTATGTAAATCTTTTCACTAATTTCGTAATTAATAAAAATATTGTTATTCTTTAATATATATTCAATTATCTTTAAAAAAAATAAAAATATATTAAATTTTTATTTACTTTATAATCATAATTCATAATATTAAATAATTATTATACTAAACATATGATAAAATTATATTAACTTAATATAATATTATATATATATATATATATATTTATTTATGTTAAAATAACATAACATTTTGGAAAATGCATTTAAATACTAAACTATAATACATGCATACAAATTAACATATCTTAAACTTTTATATATAATAATATATTATCTAAAATGAATAAACATAAAAATTGCTAAAAAGAAATCCAGAGTTTTGAAGAGCAAATAAGAATTTAGCATAAATTAAATATAAATTAATTTTTAATTATGTTGTTTCATACATATTTTTTCCGTTTAATCAGCAAATACAAACTCAATAAAATAAATATATAATAAGAAGTAAAAAAATACATGTAACGGTTTGAAACAATTGATTAATTATGACATATAACCTATAAATTATTGTATTTGAAATAGTTATATAAATGTTTAAATATATGATTAAATTAAAATATATACCACTAATGATAGAAATCTATATATAAATGAAATCAAACACCCATCTGATTACACTGATCAAAGTCTAGTGTGTATTAAAATCTCATGATAAATATTCTTTGGCTTTATTTTATTGTACTTTCTGTGAGCATTTTATTTTTGCTTTTATTTGGCGTAATTAAGCTTAATTTTGGGTTTACAGAACAAAACAGGACTTCAATTTTGTGAGATTTGCTTCTTCCACTTTTCAGAAAAAAACTTACCATTTTAAAAAGAAATTACGAGGGTGAAAGAACATTTACAAATCTTTATGCCATTTGACCAAATCACTAAAAGTTTTAATTAAATAACAAAATTGTAAAATACAACTACACAAAACCATACTATACCATTTATATGAGATTAACTTTTACTTTGAATATTATTCTAAGAAGATTTGTTTTAACTTACTTAATCTTTAAAACAATATACATGTAATCCCAAGACATGCATGACATACAAAATAATATATATGTAATCTTAAGACATGCATGACACAAACATATATATAGACATATATTAGACACATACACACAAAGATCATAAGAACTACATACAAAATTATAAAACCTCTTATTCGTCTCCCTTCTTTCGCGACAGGGTTATCCGTTCCAACACTTCAAAGCAAGATATATTTTGTCGCTTTTTTTCTTTATTTGTGCAAAACTTCATTGCTATCTTCTAAAAAAACAACGCGTTATTCGGGTTTCAGTGTTTAGGCCCCGTGTAAAAACCAAACATTTTCCAGATCAGTTCAGTTCGAGTAATGTCAGATTCGATTTGCATTTATATTTTCTTTTGTAAAACCTGAAATAGAACCGAATTATAAATAGTTTGAGTTTGAGTAATTTTAAAGCCATAAAACTCAAAAAACTTTGAAAAATCGAATTAACTCCAAAAATCTAAATAGTTTAGGTAATTAAGAGGTTTGTATACTATAATATATAAACTATATTATATATTATGATAATTAATATTTTTATTATATTTTGAATATTTGGATACTTATTTGGTTATCGGTGCGGTTCTGATTTTAGTTTTGGTTTTCGGGTTTGAGATATAGTAACTGTTTAGGTTTTTCAAAAAATTTGTATGGTTTTGGTTTTAGTTTTAGTTTTTTCGTTTCAATCTGAGTTTGATTTTTTTTTATTTGAATAATATTTTCATGATTAAGTTTCTCATTAGTTTTCTTATCTGTGTTTTAATACTCCTCTTACTAAAATATTCATTCTTGTTTTTAACCTCAAAATATTTTATAATATCATTTTTTGGTATTGTATTTTTAAAGGATTTTATCTTTCATTAAATATTTTTTTGTAAATTTATTCGACAAAATTATTTGCAAATATCAGACTTCACATGTCTAAATTATAGTTTCATAATTTGTTATATAAAATTAAATAGTAGTTGTAAAACAATAATGACACTATTGTAAATTCTTAGTAATTTAAATAATGAAACCCGTTTTGCATTAGAGAAAGTTCATTTTTAACTTTATAAGTGAATCTGTTAAAAATTTCTTCATTCTATCGCTTAATGATAATTTTGTTTATTTAATGAAAAAACGATAGAAACTGCAGTTGTAAAATATTAGTTGTAACTCGATCATTTATACAACAAATGATATAAGTATTATTATTTTAATTTTTATGAACTTAAATATATATTAATAATTTTTAATATCTTAATTTAACATTTTAATTTATAAATAAAAGTTAATGAATATCTACTGAATATTTACTTTTATAGTATTCAGTTTTTAAAATGCTAAGGTATGAAATAAACTTCAGAAAACCTCAAATATATTTAGAGCGTATGAGAAAATAGAAAATTAATTAGAAGTTAAAATGATACCACTTACTGATGATATTATAATTATACATACCTAAAACTTTGGAATTAAAAAAACATATATTAGAAGGATAAACATTTTTCTAATTCTCCCAAACACACTCAAGATGATATAGAAAAAAAGACCGATAGAATTATGTAACAAATTTTAGATAGGTATAAAAATTATTTATGTTAGCTATTTGTTAAATTTCTGGATAATATGTCTATCACAGATACATAATCTTTTGGAAATCATATTAATATATATCATTAATAATCTAAACTATTAAAACAAAAGTTCAATTTAAAATTAACCTTAAGGCTTAAAACTTATTTACATATCTATGCCTTTCAAGTTATAACTTAGCCTAAATTTAAGCAATTATTTTTTTCCTAATTTTTACAAATAAATTCCTAAATATAAGGAACAATCAGTTTAGTTTAATTATTTTACTAACATATAGTAACATTAAACTTTCATGTCGAGAAATAAAACATTTGTATAAATTATTTTCATATATTTTGACCATTAAAACTTCACGATACATAAACTCATACACAAAAAATGTAAATCAATACTATTAATACCAATAAAATATTTATCTACTCACAAGTAGTATAAGGTGGACCATTTCATTTATTTAATTTTTATTATTTGAATACAACAAACTTATTCATTATTAAATAAACACATAATCTTAACATCATATTTAAATATTTTCAAAATAAGATATCACAAATATATTCTTAACTACTTTTCTAATATCACATTTTAACAATA